GGGGGGAATTGAAAGCTAGTTTTGTTATAAATGGAGATAGGAAAAGTTTTTTGAATTAGAAAAGAATATTATAATACAAATGAATGTATCTCTTTCATAATTCAATGAATTCAAAAATTTCATACCAAAATATTAATTGTACGTTTTCTATGAATTAAAATAGGTGGCATAAAAAAATTATGAAATTTCATAATGGGTGAGGAAAGTATTTTATTTAGTCAATATTTAAATAAATATAATCAAACTAACTTAATTTAAATGTATCATAATTACATACAAAATATAAAATTTATTTATGAGTGAAGAGATTATTTTATTTATTATCTAAAAGTTTCTACAATTTCAGTCGAGTCATATGCTATTTTTAAATTTTTTAATGTAGTCGTTGAAAATGTATTGTTTAGTATTACATTATTATTATTAAATAAAATAGAATCAATATTAATTTAACATATTATAAACTAATACTCATATTAAAGATATCTATATGTGAAAAAATGATCTTATTTATTAATTAGTGTTTTTTATAAATAAAGAGAGTAAAAAATAGTGTATTGAATTGGAAAGAATATTATCGTAAAAACAAATCTTTCTCTTTCATAATTAATCTTATTCAAAAAGTTCATATATATCAAAACATTGAATTCACATTTTATATATCTTAAATTAAGCGACATATTAGGCCTCAAAACAAAAATACAAAGTAAAATTTATTTACTGGGGAAGAAAGTATCTTATTTAACAAGTGTCAATATTAAACAAAAATAATTAAACGAGTATCATGTAAACGTATAAAGAACAAATATAGAATTTATTTATAGGTGAAGAGTGTATTTTACTTATTATTCTAAAAAAAAATCGTAAATTTTATGATATATCGAATCCGAGATAGGCATTAAACCTTTTTACATATAGTTGTGAAAAATAATATTTTATTAAAAATAATAAATTATAGGGAAAACCATTTTAAATTTAAATTTGGATTAATGAGGTCAAAATAATTAAGTATTTATCATTTTCGTAAGAGTAAAAAAGGTGAAACAGTTGAAGAAATTAGATTTGGTTAATTTAATTAAGTTGCCACCTAATATGCCAACAGATTTCCTTTCCAAAGATAGAGAGTTTGGAGGTAGCAGGGTTGAACAGATCGATTCAATCGCTTTGGGCTGATGATGACCAACTTCCACACAACTCATTCGCCATTTTAAAAAGATTGATAGTTGAAAAGTGTGGGTTCGTGGAGAGATTGGTCCCCTTTCATGTACTCAAATGCTTGAGGCATCTGGAAAGGGTAGAGGTTGAAGATTGTGACAAGCTGGAAGTGGTGTTCGATTTCGAAGAACACTGCACAAGTGAGGAGATACAGTACTCACCATTTTCATTGAAGAAGCTGTCCCTGCACAAGTTGCCACAACTGAAGCATGTGTGGGGGAATTGGCCGCAAGAGACGACGGTCATGTCCTTCCCATGTCTGGAAGAAGTAGAGATTAAGGAATGCGAGACGCGGCTGACCAGTATGTTCCCTTCATCACAGTTGCAAGATGAGGAGTATCCTCTATTTCCTCACCAAAAGGTATATTATCATCCATCAAATCATGCATTCCCTTATTTATTCATATGCTACGTATTACGGAGTAATTAATTATACGCACCGGCAATGGCAAATCCAGAAAAAAATTTGATTGGGGGCCAATCTACACTAATTAAAGAGTATGCTGAGATTCAGGGGTGACACTCCCGACTTTTTAAAGCGTTTGATAATGATAAAAAATACTCCGTATAACATATTATATTTAAAGTAGAAAATAAATATTTTACCCGTATAACATATATATATATATATATATATATATATATATATAAAATATATATACGGGTAACATATATAATATAATTATGATATTTTAAATATTTTACCCGTATATGTTTTTTATGTGATTATTTTGTACTTTTAAACTAAGATTTTCTTTTGTCAATGGGCAAACTAATTTTTTACCGAGGTCGATCTTTTCATTCTCTACAAAAATATTATTTTTAATGTTGTATATTACGAAGTAAAAAAATTGACCGGGGGCAGTTGCCCCCGTATTTTTACATGTTGATCCGCCCCTCATTATACGAGTGTGTGTGTGTGTGTATATATATATATTATTTTATTAAATTTTAAATTATATGAAAATGGAGATATTTTTTATTTTTTTAATAGAAAAAACTATATATATTTAAAAACAATATATTAAAAAAATCTACATAACAAGATATACCAATATTATATTATTTTATCAAAATAATAATGACATCAAGGAATTGTATTTATTGAACTTTGACCTTGGTCCCTAGTGTAGTGAGTTTTCAAATTAATTGGGGATGCAGGCCGGGAATACTAATATATATACTATGAGAAATTAATTTTAAACATCAATAATCCTTAGCCTAATGAGTATGGTTCCTCTCACAGTCTCACCCCAGTCCATAATTAAAATCACAGTTTATTTTATTTTATTTACAAATTTGTATAAAAATAATTAATTAAACAAAAGATGGGAAAAATATTTTATTTTATCAAATAATCAATGAAAATACACAAACAAACAAAAATATGCATCCTAATATTTATTATGCATTAAGCATTACATAACTTTTAAATGTGCATACTATTTCTTATATTGTGCACATTCCATGCATATGAAAACATATATGTTTTCATATATCTATTTAATAAAATCAATGCTCTAAATTAGGAATTTATACAAAGAAATAATAATGTGCAACAAATATTTTTTAAATTTTAAGTGTGCATATGACCCCGTTCTATTGTTTTATTTGTCTCTTTATTTTTGTCAAATTAATTAGTGATATACATATTAAGAAACAAAAAGTTATATAATTGATATTAATTCTAATTTAAAAAGTAATGAAAATAAGAGTGCAAATTTCAAAAAAGTTACTAATATGATTTGAGATAAAATATAATTACATGGAAGAAAACTAAAAGAAAGTAGAGTATAAATTACTTAAATAAAATATCAGATTTAGAAAATAAAATAATTATTTCAACACTTTTATTTTTTTTTAATGCATTTTTTTAAACTTGTTATAGTTTTTTCTAATTCTTTCTAGTTTTTTTCAATTGCTTTCAGTTTCTTTCAATTCCTTCTAACTTTTTAAACTCCTTTTAGTTTCTTCCAATTTTTCCCTTTTTTTTTCAACTCTTTCCATAACATCCAACTCTGTTTTTACAACGTAACTGAAGCGATAAGAGCCTCAATAAAGCTGACATGCATTAATAAATACTCCCTCCATTCCTTTTAAATTGTCTGGTTTCCTTTTCGAGTCTATTGTTTGACCTACAATATCTCATAAAATTTATTAGCAAAAAAATATTTACAATAATACACTAAATGTAATTTTCAATACTAATAATTTGGTAAACTTGTTGTATTTTAAGTAATGTATGTTTTTATATATAGTTAGTGTGATGTTTGGCACGCGAAGCGAAGCAGATAGTTAAAGAAAATAGAGGGAGTACCTCCTCTCTCCAAAAAAAAAAGAATATTTACGTTTCACTATTCAAAAATCACGAGAGCCTTTGCTTGTTTTGTAGGTGGTTCAAAATATGAAGAGGTTCACCTGTGATGGAAAATTCGCAAAGATGGTATGGGACGGCCAAATTCCGGATAACTACTTTTCCAATCTTGAAGAAGTGTTTCTATATTTGGACGATGATGATGATGAGTCAGTAGATACTACCATTCGGCGTGGATTGTACCAGAGTAAGTTTCCAAATCTACAGAAGCTGGAGTTTAAGGGGGACGAGAAGCCGCCTATATTATTCTCTTCATCATCTGTGGAGCTGGAGCCTCCTCGGGACAATGAAGCCGTTGCAACTTTCAAAACACTGGTTTTTGAGGCAAGGCACTTCTTGGAGCAGCAGATATGCATTGATGATACCGAGCCGGCATTTCTTTGCCAAAACCTTCAAACTTTGGACATTTCAGGGTGTCCCAACCTGATAAACTTGGGACCATCCTTGATTTATTTCACCAATCTTCGAGAAATCATAGTAAGTTATTGCGATAAAATGACCAGTTTGCTGGTGCCATCAACCTCAAGAGGCCTGTCGCAGCTCACGAGGTTGACAATAACCGATTGCTGCCAAATGAAGGAAGTTGTAGCAGAGCAACAAGTGCTGGAAGAGGATGGTGGTGATGGTACGACGAGTGGGAGGGAGATTATTGTTTTTCAAAAATTGGAATCTTTGGAACTCGAATATTTGCCATGTTTGAGGAGCTTCTGCAATTCTAATGACCATGCCTTCAGCTTTCCATCCTTAGCAGAAGTAATTATTAGAAAATGTCCAGGAATGATCATCTTCTGCCAAGGAGATGTGCATACACCAAATCTTAAAGGTGTCACACTTGAAGAAAGAAGCATGGGGAAACAACAACCGCACTGGGAAGGCAGCCTTAACCAAACAATCCAATACTTTTTGCTATCTCAGGTATATATGAATGCATAACTGCTCTGATTCTCAATGTTAACAGATACTCCCTCCGTCCCAAAATAATTATCACGGCTTGACTTTTTGGTAAAACTGTTTGACCACGAGTTATGGGTTAAGCATATTTATTTATAGTATCGATTTAGTAAAATTGAACTTATTTTAAAATATAGTTTTGATATATCGAACTTCTATAGCATTTGATTGTTTAAAAATATATTTAATTTATGGTCAAAGTATTACACTGCTTGATCAAAAAAAGTCAAATTGTAGTAATCTTGGAGGTCGTAAGTATTTGATCATTCTACCTGGAGTATTAATTAAGAATGTTCGTCTAGTTTGATTTTTTTGACCTTCAATTACATTAAATTTGTGTAGCTTATTAAGAGCAACTTTAGCCTTTCCTCACACCTTCCCCCCACGTCACATGAAGCCATAGCGCATTCGGGTGCGAGTGGGGGTGTGGAAAGCGTTAAAATATGAAAACGTACGAGTGCAGGTGCGCCTTAAAGCATCAATCAAAAAACCAAAAAACATGTATCCGTCTATATGTATATACTTCAAAATTACCCATATTCTAAATAATATTAAGAAAACTCGTTTTTATGTTCTTTCTACACCAATCCTATAATAATCGTTACGTTCTTCATGTTCTTTGTTTGTATATCAATCCTATAACGCTGCTTCGCAGTGTTGTCTTCCCTCCCGATTCCCCAACAATCGTCATCCTCTAATTATACGGAGTAATTGTTAGGTAAACATTTAAAAATATAGAATTGTATTACACTCTAAACGTAAAATTTCTCATATCAATTTTTTTAAAGGTTAAACCAATTGACCAGTTAATTTTAGATTTGTTTTGGATAATGAAGTACTAGTTGTTTGGGTAGTAACTTGTCAGTTCAACATTTAATATATTGTGAACTTTGATCGCTAAGGTAAAAGGTTTGGAGCTGTGCCCTGAGATGAGAAGCCTATGGATGGAAAAACGTTCACAGCGCATGGCTTTTAGCAGATTGGAAGATTTAACCGTTGAGAGCTGTGACTTCTTATCTGAATGTGTGATACCCACACATTTGGTAGCGTCATTGAGGCGTTTGAAAGTATTGGTGGTTCGTAATTGTCAGTATATAAAAACAATATTTTGTCCGGAGGATGGATGTAAATGGTTTCAATCTCTGCAAAAACTACATGTCACTAATTGTAAAAGTTTAGAATACATTTTTATGGGATCAGCTGCTAAAGGATTTGAGGATAATGAGAGTTTAGAGGAAAAATCTTCAAAGTTCTTGTTTGCTCGTTTAGAGTCTTTGAAATTGGAGAAGTTGCCATATCTCAAGGGTTTTTGTCTGCAAAGATGTACATTTGAATGCCCACAACTCGCAGAGTTACGGGTGTCTCAATGCGAAAACATAACCGCATTTGGCACAGAAATGGCACGTATTATTACAAACTCGGGTGAAAGAGATGAATTAGAACAGAGCCAAACCCACCTCTTCTTGGCCGAAAAGGTTAGTATGTTTTTTTTCTTCTTCTGTACTCTCTAATGTTAGTTATTAGTTGTTAACTTTATTTACAAAGAAGAAACCACATAAGGAAATGGTAGGAGGATGAATGAAAGTGAGTATTGATACCTCTTTTCCAATTAATTATTCTATGCAGGTGATTCCCAACATAGAAAGACTATCATTGAGTAAAAAAGATGTGACTCTCATAAAAAACCACCAATTCGAGACGAATCTCTTTGATGAAGTGGAGGATCTTACTCTGGGAGGCTTTGTTGGAGGAGAATCAGCAGCAGCAGCAGCATCATCCCTTCCTTTTGATTTTCTTGAAAGATTTCCAAAGCTGCTGAGGCTGCGTGTGGAACATAGTGCCTTTGAGGAGATATTCTCATCTCAACCACAACAACATACATTTTGTAGTTCCTTGGAGGAATTAGAGCTTGCATATTTGGAGGAGCTGAATGCCATATGGAATCATGATGATCATTCTTCTTCTTCTTCTTCTTCTCAATTTCAACCACTTCATCTAAATCTAGAATCTCTTAAAGTGGATTGCTGTCCTAATTTGATTATGCTGGTTCCGGCTTCTGCTTCACTTGCAAATCTAACACATCTGAAGGTGTCTGGCTGTCATCAATTGACCTATTTGTTCACAGATTCAACTGCCAAAAGCTTGGTATATCTGGAAACATTGGCGGTAAAGGAGTGCAGAAAGATGAAAGAAATCGTGAGAAATGAGAGCGAAGAAGATGCAGCAGGAATCACATTAAATGGATTGCGCAAACTGGAACTTGATGCTCTACCGAGCTTTGAGGGATTTTGTTTGAAAAACCAGACCTTTCAATTCCCAGACTTAACTGGAGTAACTATAAAGGGATGCCATCAAATGAAGATGTTTTCTCTTGGAGACTTGGAAACACCACAATTGGAGGGTGTGGACATTGACGATAGCAGCATGCGCTTGAAGAGAGATCTTAACAAAACCATAGAATTGTTCGTCTCAAAGAAGGTACCGAAAACACAATATAAGGCATAGCTTGAGGTATGACCAATGAAACCTAAAATTGACGATTCTTACATATTTTTCCCCATCTTCTATTCTAACTCTGCCATTCTGAAAATGGAAAACATCTCCTTTGATGATGACGATGACGATGATGATGCAGGATAACAAGAATATAAGGACTGGCTGAGTTCTTCATCCATAGTATCTATCTTTCATCCATAGTATCTCTCGGGTGGGTGCATCACTCTATCTTTATGCTCCCTTTTGTTTGCTCTTCATACGTTTCAAATAAGTGATATTTGCACCAAATAGTACAAAAACATAAGTCATTTCTCAATATAGGATTTAAATTTTTTTATTTTTCTAAATAGTACTTAATAATGTCTAGTGGGAGGAATAATGTCCACTGATCATGGGCATTTACTTGAATAATGACTAATAAATAATGACTAAAGGTCTTATATTGGGAAATAAAAATATACGATCCTATATTGAGAAAGTCATTATGTTTTAGTCCTATTTAGGTAAATTACCCTTCAAATAAAGGGCATATGCGGCTCAAGTTTCTAAACGCATGACAATAATATACTTCCTTACCCCATTTTGACTTTTAGAAAAATTAAGCGAGAGAGATTTTGTGTTGATTTTCCAAAAAGACATTTGATGTAATGGCTAAAAGTATGATCTTATGGTTGATTATTTGTAAAAAAATGATCTGATAAGTAGGATAATGATTAGTATGGATAATAGTAGTTTTTTAATTAAAAGAGGAAATATTTTGTGGGACAAAGAAAAATAAGAAAGGAGAACGAGTTTATAAGACGTAGAGAGTATATATTTCTTGTGGGATTTATTTATGGAAACGCTATTAAGTTTCTCTTTGTTCAGGTGTTTCTGTTACGTACGTGGGACGACCGTGGTATACTAGCTGCATTCATAAGAGTTCTGGGTGGGGCTATGTTTGGCATACCCATAGTTATTATAATTATTTCATTATTTAATATTTTTGTTTATGAGTGGGATTATGACACTCCTTCAATGGTTTTCTTTTCGGTTCTTTCCCTTGATGTTGTTGCTGAATCGACAAGACTAGAATTTCTATCTTTTCTATAAATTGGGATATTCTTACTTTATTTGAAAAGATATCAAATTGTTATTCCCAAGCCCTTCTATAACTCTTTTTCATATCTCTTTCTCCTCTTCTCTGATCTCTCAAATTCTTCTCGATCATTTTTCTCAATTTGGAGCTTATAGTATTTTGTAGCTTAGAGGCGTTTGAAGTCTTTCATATCCCGATTATATCTATATCTATTGATCCTTTACTTACATCGTGGGCAACCTTGTTGGAGGTCGTCAAGCAACGATTTGATGTGGCACATTATCTAGACTATATGGGGGTTTTATAAGTTAGAACACCCCATCAAGAAAATTTGTGGTGCACTCAAAATTACATCATATGGAAGTCTCTTCTTTCTTTTTTCCTCTTCTTCCATACGAGCCGGTGCAGGCCTGCATCCATACTCTAGTTCAACTACAAAAACAAGACAGTTTATGAATCAGATATGATGTCAATAAAAGGAGGTGGCATCAAGAGAGGCTAGCCATGGGAGCTACTGAAAGGGCTGGAGTGAAAATTCCTCGCTGGAATATCCCCTACCAGGTTCGGTTGATGTCGATGATCGTCCTTGACAAACTCAAACCTGAGCTCTGTGTGGGATTCTTTGGTTACCAACTTCTCAAACTCGATTGGCCCATGATCAGAGTTTCTTGGTGTCACCCAAAAACTTCACCATCATTATTGCTAAGTGGTCGAACAACTGAAGATACTCTCGCAGGCTCATGGTTCCCATATGAAGATGCAAAAATTCCTCACGTTTCTGTTCCACGAACGACTCTGAGATATATTCTTCCTTGAATACCCATTTGAACTAGGCCCACGTCAGCTAGGGAGGATAATCTACGTTCCGAGTGGTATGTTTCCACCACTCGTACGCGTTTCTCTTAAACTAGAATATAGTTTAAGAGTTGGTTAGAAGTACCTTAAACTAGAATTATTTTAAGAGTTGGTAAACATCAAGAAATTGGCCTTAGACGACTAAGAATAGTTTGAGAGCATTGTTGAATAGGAATGTTGAATATCGAATATTGAATGTTGAATCCCTGAACTGAATATTATGTGCATGATATCAAATAATTTGATTATGGATTAAGATTCAATTTATATGGATGTTCGATGCATTAAAAATCCTTACTCAGCTTCACCGCTGAGCGTGTAGTATATTTTATTTCCTGCACGTAGGTAAACAAAAAGAATGAATTGAAGTGATATATTCCTGGCGACAGATGGGGCGAGATGGTCAGGATGGATTTGTGGATTTGAATTATTATTTTAAAGACATAAAATAATTAATTGTTATTGCCATGTGACATGTTTAAATTTGCTTCCGCATTATTGAACACTCCATATTATTACTGTTTATGTTATGATTATTATTTATGATAAATAAAAATGTTTTAAATGTTTTAAATTTTAAAATTACTAAGTTTATACTTTAGTCTGAAAGGGACTGTAGACCTGAACGGATTAGGGTGTTACATATAGAGAAGGAAAGAATGGCCCACAAGGAGAAAAGAAGAAAACTCTCCGCCCTCACTCCAATCGTCAACACTCTCACCAGAAAAAAAAATCAAAAAACATAATCTCAATCTCGTTCTTCATGGAACGAAGATATAGCTCTCTACTTCTAGAGGCTATCCTCCCAAAACTACTTCCGCCAGCTCCTTTCGAATACTTGTGCTCCAAGCTGCCCCTTGTCTCTATTGATTAGCTTGCGGGGATAATAAGAAACAAATATACTTCCGAGCGGTTTAATACCTTCCGCAATGTATTGTTTCCATAGTTTATCTCCATAATTAGAATTCTCTCTTGTAATCTCTATATAGAGACCAATTATTATAAATTTTATAAGAATCGCATGTCAATGAAACTGCTGGTCGGTCCCTAATAACAAAAGGCTAATCTTTATTACAACAAGCTTCAGTTCCATTCGTAATAACTTGATAGGTCCTCACTGAATAGGCCATATTCACACCAACTAAAAAACATAGGCAATAATACAAACACACTTGCTTTCCTAATACTATTGAAAGCCATTAATAGAGTACACTAATTAATTTATTCTCCGGCCATAAGAATGAGTGCACCAAATTCAATCCCCCCTGAGGAACAATAACACAACATGCATGCAGTAGTTAAGTAACTAGCACTTCACTGCAATGGGAATGGCTCTGAGGGGCTTGTCAAAGTCCATGTCCTTAGGGTCCATATTGCCCTCAAGCCTCCAGTCAAAAGAGTTGATCAACGACCCCAGCATCACATGCATCATCCTGACGGCGAGCGGGGATCCCGGGCAGATGCGCCGCCCGCTCCCGAACGGGGTCAGCTTGAAATGCCTGCCCTTGACATCGATCTCCGACCCCAAAAACCGCTCGGGCAGGAACGAGCCCGCGTCCTCCCATGTGGTCCCGCTCCTCCCGATGGCCCACTCGTTGATGAGGACTTGGGCGCCTTTAGGGATAGTGTACCCTCCAGAGATTAGGACATCCGTTTTGGCCCTCCGCGGGAGCAAGAGTGGGGCGGGCGGGTGTAGCCGCAGGCTCTCCTTGACAACGGCTTCCAAGTACGGAAGGCGCCCGATGTCCGATTCCTCCATTGCCTTCCCCAACCCGATGGTTCGCTCCAATTCCCTCTTGGCTTTTGACATTACCTCTGGGTTGTGGACTAGCTCGCTCAGTGCCTTTTCCAGTCCATAAGCTGTTGTATCTGTTCCCGCCACCAGTAGATCCTATATGTATATGCATGAATTTTGATTTAAAAAAACATAAATAATTCTTAAAGTAAATTCCCAAAATGGTCCTTTGTAATAAGGTGTTTTCCTAATTCAGTCCTCAATAAGTTTTAATTACCTACGTGGTCCTTTATAATTGAGATCTATTCCCAAGATAGTCCTTCGTAAATAATGTTACTCAAATGATGATTAATATGGAGATATTTTGGTATTTTGATCATCCAAATTTTTGGAACAGTTATTTCTGTACAACTAAATATAAAATTTAAAAAATATGTTGACTATAAATAATTCATGAATTATTTAAAACTTAAAAAAATCTTTTAACTTTCAAATCAAATGCACATCTTTAATTAGAAAAACGATTTTGAGAAAGAATTCATTATCAATGATCATTTTAAGAATTATTTCTAAATTTAGCGGATAAAAAATACCCAAATATCTCTATTTAATCCTCATTTGAGTCACATTATTTACGAAGGATCATTATGGGAATAAATCTCAATTATAGAGGACCGCGTAAGTAATTAAAACTTATTGAGAATTGATTTGGGAAGATACCTTACGAAGGACTATTTTGGAAATTTACTCTAATTCTTATTAGGTAAACCTCAAAAAAATCATTTTTATTAGGAGAAAGACTTTTATGTAATAAGGGGAGTATGAGAAATATGTACCAGCAACAAGTGTCTTATCTTCTTCCTATCCATCCTCTTGATATCCTCTTGAGAAATGTCCAACAAAGTGTCCAACATATCATTGTTACTCAAGTAACTTTCCCCTTGTCTTTCCCTCACCCGGTCGTCGATGAGGCGGTCCAGCACCCGAAAGAACCGGGTGAGGTAGGAGGCGGTGTGCCTCCGGACGCCCTGCGGGTCGAAAATCTTCAGCACCGGGAGAAAGTCGACCACGTTCGGCGTTCCGGTGGCTTTCAGGAGAGTGGACACCAAATCTTTGAACTCGCCGTCGTCTTCCACCGCCGACCTGACGATGAAGTCTTGGGAGACGAATGTGTAGGACAGGAAGTTGATGCAGGCCTTGAATGCCGCCCTTCCCACATCCACCACCTCACCTAATTGGTTTTGTAATTAAGATAGGATATAACACATTGGGGAATTCATCAAATGACCATTAATTTGAGAGATCATTTTAAGTCGGAAGTTGGGCATGAATGATGATTACAAGTTTGAGCTTTTAGTACTACCTTTTCATTTAAATTATTTATTTACTATTTACATCATTAAACTTTAACAATTTTCTTTGTCCAATTTTGGTTAGCAATTTTGATAAAATAATACTCCCTCCGTTCTCTTAAAAGGTTCCTGTTTTGACTTTTAGCCAAATTAACGAAAGTGTAATTTTGGTTGACTTTCCAATTTGCCCCTTATGTGATGAGTAAAAAGTAAGATGTGATAGTTTGGTAACTTTGGTTATTAGTGAAAAAGTATGATGTGATAGGTAGGGTATGAAATAGTATGGGTAAAAATGATTTTTTAATAGAAAATAGAAGTGTTTTTGGGAATTCGAAAAAATGAAAGGAGAAGGGTTTTAAGGAATGGGGGAGTATATTCTTGTCACATTTTATAATGTTGATCTTTTGATTTAGTTTTTAAATACATAAATTTTATTTTATAAATCACCACCTATTTTCAAATAAATGGCGTTGAAAATAATTTCAGGACAAATCTCGTAAACAACAACATGCGATTTAAATTGGAAAATTAGAAAATACTTCATCTGTCCCTAAAAAAAATTTCTATATTAATTTTTTAATAGATTTAAAGGGAGTCTATTTTGGTAATGATTTTCTAAAAATGTGATTAGATCTGATAGATAAAAGTAGGATATGATAGGTAGATGACTAATAGTAAAAAAAATATGTAAAATTTGCACTAAATAGTACCCCCTCCGTCCCAAAAAGAATGGGACGGTTTGACTTTTTGGGAAATTAAGGGAGGGATATTTTGGTATTGACTTTCCAAAAATACCCTTGATGTGATGGGTAAAAATAAGATGTGATGGGTAGATTATTAGAAAAAAAGGTATGATGTGATAGGTAGGGTATGATAAAGTTAGGGGTAAAAGTGGTTTTTAATAGAAATGTAACGGATTTTACGGGACGCATTTTTTTCTAAACGTAACAAACTTTTTGGACGGAGGGAGTACTAAAACACATGTCCTTTCCTAATGCAGTTCTTAAACATTTTTATTCCGTAAATAGTACTTTAATAATGTCTAGTGGCAGGAATAATATCCATTTATAGTAGATTAATCTTTTCTATATTGATTTTTATTCCGTAAACATTTTTATTAATCTTTTCTATATGGATTTTTAATGGATTTAAATGAATGTATTTTGGTGTTGATTTTCTAAAAATGTCATTAGATGTGATCGGTAAGAGTAGGATATATATGATAGGTATATGACTAATAGTAAAAAATATGCAAAATTTGTACTAAATAGCACTAAAACACGTCCTTTCCCAATGCAGTATTTAAACATTTTTATTTCGTTAATAGTACTTGAATAGTGTCTAGTGACAGGAATAATATCCGGTTATAGTAGACATTTAGTTTGAACAATGTCCAGTGGCGGTGAACATTTACTTGAACAATATCCGGTGGATATTGAACAGTGATACTACATTGAAAAATAAAAACATATGGTATTATATTAGAAAAGTCACTATGTTTTAATACTATTTAGGTAAATACCCAAAAAATATAATGTGATAAGTATTGTAAAAGTTAGTAGGAGTAAAAAAGGAGTTTTTAATAGAAATAACAATATTTTCTCGGATGGATTAAAAGTGAATAACCAAACAAATTTAAGAACGAATAAAATACTTTGTAATAATTTCGTATAGGTAGTGTTTGAGAAGTATGAGAACTAATATTTTATTTCAAAAATAAAATTTAAGTCAAACTCAGATCGGATTTTAAACTAAAATTTCAGTTCAATTCTCAAAGATGCCGGTATAAGTTAAGGAAAATGCTAGAGTCACAAACTTAAAGTTCACAAAATTCACAAACTTGCCTTTTGTGGAATTTAAATTAAAATATTTTTTAATATTTGAATGCATCTTATTTCTAGCAAAGTGCTAAAAATGCAAGTTTGTGACTTCTATTCATCAAAAATCTAGCGACTTCTCCGGTTCATTAAAAATGCATCTTATTACTCATAAGTTAATCCATTTTCAATAATCTAGCGACTTCTCCGGTTCATAAAAAAAAGTGACTTCTATTCATCAAAAAAGAAAAAGCAACTTCTCTGATTCATCAAAAAAAAAAAAGAGCAACAAAACAAAGTACTCAGTGCTGATGTGTGGAGGACGGCACCCATGACCCCACGTTGCCCATGTGGCGAACCTTTTATTATGATATAAATTTAATATTAATACATTTTTATTGAAACGTAATATTTAATATTAAATTTTAAAAAATATATATGTATAAGTATAAATATTAATGATCAAAATACCA